AAACCAAATGAAATTCAGTTTATTTGTCATGGGATTCCTACTCAGCCTCTGAAACAGCTGTATAAGCTTCTATGGCTGTGTAGGAACCTTGTAAAATCTGACAAAATAACCCAGATTTATTAGGGTTATCTTTGGGGTTGGGATTGAAGACCTTTACAATGGCAACATATGTCATGCAGTGTAATTTAACAAAAAAGCATTAACAACTGAAGGTTTGGAAAGCATGGGTTGTTGATTGGCATGTTGTTCTGTGGTACCCAAAAGCAACAAAATCACATTCCTCTCCACAGATTATCTGCATGTACTAACAGTCAGCATAAAGTGAAATCTAACAACAAATATGACAAAGTTTTTTGGACTACTGAAGCTTTATAAATATCAAAAAGTAAACGGCCCCTGTGCTTAATATATCAATATAACAATATAATTGGATTGTTCCTACTCATGTTAATGTTAAGAAAGCATTACTGTTATTGGTTAGATAAGGGATGTTTATTTAATAGCAACATAATTTACAGGTAATTCAAATGTTGGATGCCACTTCTTAATATTTTACAATACTGTTTAAGTTGTTAGTAGTTCTTCCACCTTCTTTTATGATATATCTTTATAAGCTGTTAGTTGATTTGTTTTAAAATTCTCACCTTAAAGTGACTAAAAATGAATTTCCCTCTGGAATTGGAGTGTAGTATACGTATAAGTGGCATACAAATGAAAAGATTTAAGTAATCTAAAAGACTGTCACTCACAGATTTTATTAAAGCCCAGGGGTGTAAACATTTTAGCAAGGGTCCCTATTCTTATCAGAAGCCCACCATGTTAAACCCACCATACTTTCTACAGATGCCTAGAACGACAAACCAAACACTGGCTCTAGACAGGGGTTGTGAGTTCTTCTCTACGACACTTGGATGGCTGCTGTATTCAAAAGATTTACATCTACAACTTCACTGCTAGATGCCAAAATTCTACACATTGGTCCTTTAAGGCACAGTAACTGCTTGCAGTTTGTAATGAAGCTTTTCTGTTAAAAACATTCAGTCTTTAATTCCAAGCAACAAAACCAGGGTCATTTTTACCATTTTGGAGCTGGCTCCCTCAGAGCCACAAAAGACATTATTCAACTGCTTTAATCGGATGATTGTACCTTCCATAACAATAAATGGAACGTTGAGCTGTGAGTGTCCCGTTTAACCTAGGAGAGGAGTATAGAATACAATTGGATGTCTGGGAGTGAGTTTTTGGGTTCTGTCCTTTTTCCACCTTTTTCCCCCGTCTAAGATGTTTTGAGGTGGGCTCACTCCAACAAAGTGTGTCAGCTACTTCCTGCCTTGAGAAAAATCCATAGAAGGAGGCGGAAGCCAGTCGAGAATACTCGGCTTTGGCGAGAAAACTGAGAGATTGGACACTCTCGTCCTTCAAAACATTGATTGTTGCTTCAGATTTCTGACAGCCACATTCAACTACTGCTGAATAACTATAGCTGATATTTTGTTTTGGGGAGTTTCCTCCGTACACTGACCTCTTCTCCCCAGAGGAGAGCGGAGACATGGGAACATTCTCAGGCTCGCAGTGAGATCTGTTATTTATTGTGCTGCAGCCAGATTGTTAAAAAGCAACCAAATTTATAAATCCCTGCAAATTTCCACTCCACAAGCTCTTTTTGCGCCAGCGTGGCGCGCTCAGTTCTGGGCTGAAATTGATCTTTTCTCTCTCCACAGTATCAATTGCAATGAAGGGCCCCACCGAGGCACTTAATGTTGTGTGTGTGGCTGTGTGTGTGTGTTGTGTGTGTATCCTTTGCCGGATAACTGCTTGACTGCAGCTGAGCAGAGTGCATGGTGGTATATGTGTGTGGGGTTGCTGGCGTCTGTGGAACGGGGAGGAGGAGGCAGGAGGGAGGAGAGACCTCACATTAGCTGCCGTCCTGGGAGAAATTAAGCAGTGTAGTCTTTGCTTGTCTTTCTCTCTCTCACTGCCAACTGCCTCCTGCTTCTCCTCTCTATTGGAGCAGGTCAGGGCTGTACCTCTTTCTGTCATCCTCCTTTGCACTTTCTGTCCTCTCTTCTACTTTCGTTTTTCCTCTGTCGCTTGCTTTCTTCCATCATTCATCTTTCTTGCCTCTGACCGTTATTTCTGTTCCCAAACGTAGGCGTACTATGTTTGTCTACAGGCCATGTCTCGTCCCTTTTTATTTTTCATTACCCACCCTCTTCCAACCCCCAGACGTCCAGCGATTCTCTCAGCCCAGATGGGCACAGACTAGCGGTGTTGGCGCATGACGGGACAGTGCTGCCCCCACCTCCTCCTCTCCTCCTCCTCCTCTCCTCTCCTTCAACTGCACACCAAGCCCCTCTGTTCCCCCACTCACCGATAGGCTGCTCTGGCTCGGCCGTCCCCACGAGCTTGTCCCTTGGTCCTGCTGGGAGCACCATGGAGTCTCAGCCACTTAACCACATAATCTCCTAAACGATCCTGGACCTTAAAGAGGATCAATACTCATTTTTTCAGGGAGCAGCATGATCCCCTTAATGTAGTGGAGGATGGCTGCTTATCCCTCACTCCCCCCTACCCCTAGTTTCAACTCCCCATAGAAGAGCAGGAGCAGCCTTTGATTGTATTCATGGCCCATTTAAGTTAAGAAGACAATCATCAGTTTATCGCTAGATGTCATATCAGGTGAATCGCACTTTCTTCCTTTCTTCTCTACTCCTCTTTGGGGGGG